GTTCCCGGACGTTCCCAATTCTCTACCCTTATATCAAGATTGTCATCTGGGCTCGAGCCAGTCATTCCCTGTTGGTTGGGTGTTTGGGCAGAGTCAGTGCAGAGAGGCTGGGGGCCCCGGCACACATGCAGGAGCTGGGCAGAACCAGGGGACAGCGCCAGCCCCGAAGGAGCCCGTCCCAGGCTGGCCCCCGTGCGGTGCCGTCGACTTTGTGTTGTACAAGAAGAATCTTTAAATACTTCACTACCTTCTAGGGAAATGCTGGTGCCTCTGGACTTTTTCTTTTCTTTTTTTTTTTTTTTTTGGTGGCTGACTGACATGGGGAACTGAACCCTTGACCTTGGTATTATAAGCCATGTGCTAACTAACTGAGCTAACCAGCCAGCCCTTGCCTCTGGATTTTTTAAATGAAGCAGATAGTGTCCTTGCCCTCTCTCATGTGGCTTTGGGATCTGTGGCTGTGGTGTACAGTGAGGAGACGGCAGTGGAGCGGAACGGTCTTTGAATCACTGAAGCCCTGAAATGGCCTATAGTTAGAAAGGAAAGTGGAGAATATTGCTTTTTATGTGTTCAAAATGTTCCCGGACGTTCCCAATTCTCTACCCTTATATCAAGATTGTCATCTGGGCTCGAGCCAGGCATTCCCTGTTGGTTGGGCGTTTGGGCAGAGTCAGTGCAGAGAGGCTGGGGGCCCCAGCACACATGCAGGAGCTGGGCAGAACCAGGGGACAGTGCCAGCCCCGAGGGAGCCCGTCCCAGGCTGGCTCCCGTGCGGTGCCGTCGACTTTGTGTTGTACAAGAAGAATCTTTAAATACTTTGGACAGTGGTCAGAGACCAGAAGGCCACATTAGAAACACATGAAAACATTTACTTCAGTAGAGTGATGGGATTACCTCTTAATTTTAAAATTGCTTTTTATGTGTTGACTTTTTATTGTAAAAGTAACTTGTAAATTATAAAAAATGTGAATTTAAAAGGTTGGAGAACCATAAGGAAACCATGACTTTGGGTCTGTTATGTTTTCAGGCAGAGAAAACAAAAAATTTTGTCAGCCGAAGCCTGGTCATAGGAGAAGTCATCTCCATAGCGGACATGGCCATGGGAGTGAAGGTGAGAGGCGCTGGGGACCCACCACTCACGGACTTGCGCTTGTCTTGAGTGGAGCTAGGACGGAGAAAGATAACCCCGGGAACCCTCAGTCTATTTGCATTTGCAAAATGTATGCCCCACAACCCACCCCCCAAGGTCTCCTTTAACCATTATGTCCAATCCTGTTTTTGTTTTTCCTTTGCTTTTCTATTTGAATACTTTTATTACCTTTGTATCAATTATTTCTATTTGTCCTCATTTTATAAAAACACTATCATAATCATTTTTTTTTTTTAAAGAAGATCGGTAAGGGGATCTCTACCCTTGGCTTGGTATTGTCAGCACCATGCTCAGCCAGTGAGCCAACTGGCCATCCCTATATGGGATCCGAACCTGTGGCCTTGGTGTTATCAGCACCACACTCTCCCGAGTGAGCCACGGGCTGGCCCATAATCATTTGTGATTTACTTTCTTCCCTTAAATATTATTGCTTATTTATCCATATTGTTGCGTGTAACTAAACATTTTTTTAAAAAACCCTTTTTATTTTGAAATAATGCTCATGGAAAGTTACAAAAAACAGTACGTAGAGTCATATAAACTCTTTACCTAGTCTTCCCCAATGGTGACATCTTATATAGCTGTAATGCCATATAAAACCAGGAAGTTGACATTAGTACAGTACTGTTAAAGAAGATACAGACCTTATTCAGATTTCACTAGTTTTTACGTGCATTCAATTGTGTGTGTGTGTGTGTGTGTGTGTGTGTGTTTCTTTGCAGTTTGACACTGTAAAGAACACCTCCACAGCCAGCATAGAGAACTGTTTCATAAAGAAACTTCATGGTGCTGCCCCTTCATAGTTCATCCAGCTCCCACCTCACTCCTGTCCTTTGGCAACTGCTAATCTGTTCTCCTTCTCTATAGTTTTGTTATTTTGGGAATGACAGAAATGGAAGTTCATTTTTGACTGCCGTATAATATTCCTCTGTGTGAGTATACCACAGTGCTTATGTCGTTTCCAGGATTTCGCTAAAGTGAAAAGCACTGCTGTGAATACTCTCATATGTCTGGTGTTGATGTGGGTAAAATCTTCCCTTAGGCATTTAACTAGGAATGGAATTGCTAGTTATAGGACCAATGAATGCCTGCCTTTCTCCAGAGTTATTACATCAATTCACACTCCTACCGACAGCATTCAATCAGATCCCGTGGATCCACAGCCTCTCCCATACTTGGAATTCTTAGTCTCCTCAGTTTTTGCCAATCAAATGGGTATAAAATGGAATCTCATTCTGGCCTTGCTTTGTGTGTCCCAGCTCACCAAGGATAGTGAGTGGGATAGTTCAGGTGGGCGTGACTAGCTCAGGTGGGCGTGACTGCCGTGGCCCCTCATGGCGCCCTAAGTCTCACAGCAGAGGGTCAATCATGTGCCCCTGCTAATTCCCTCCTTTCCCTCCCTGGCCACCACGGGGTCTTAAAATAAGTCCCCATATCCAAGTACCCTGTCTTGATGTCCAGAAAGGGGAGAAATTATAACTAGAACATGAAGACAGAATGATTG